GAGCTGCCACCCAAGGGCTGTATCTCCCTATAAAAAAGCCCATCCCTACGGCAGGGTGCAGCTCATGGAGCCCATTGCATCCCCCAGGAAGGCATCCCCCAGGGATGCTGCAGGCAGCGATTCGGCCACAGATGCTGCTCTCTGCTCTGTTCTCTGCTCCTACAGAGCAGCTTATGGGCCCATTTGATAGGCTATGGTTGTTTTTTTGTTTGTTTGTTTGTTTTTCCTGAAGATAAAGGTATAAACCCTGTCCATGGCTGCTCAGCAAGAGGAAACGTGCATTACACAGGGTGTCTGCCCTGCTGCTAGTTAACCTGAGTAAGGGTGTGCTGCTTTGGCACCATTCAAGACAGCAGTTATCTCAATCTTAGCAGCTGAACTTCATCCCACTCCCACAAAACCTGCAATTTTTGTACTCGGCCTCACTGCAGTCCTTTCCAGGGAAAAGCCCTTTCCGGGTTGTTTAGTGCAATCTCCGTTTTAGTGCTGTCATGAGCAAGTCCTGGACACATGATTTGCTCCTTGCTTTTCCTGACACCCCTCAAATCTCAATCCCAGGGGCCCAAGTGCAAGACTTGGCCAATTTTGCACAAGAGCAGGAGGTTTAATGCTGACAACTTTTCAGTGCTTTGCCATTTGTTTGGGCTCAGCACGATCTGCTGAAGCAAGGCCCCCATGCACTGGATTCTCCCTGCTTGCAGGCAGCACGCACCCCAAAACTTGGAATGCTGGAAAGTCCCAGCTGCGGAGGAAGAAGGAGAAAATAAATAAATAAAGCAACACACACACAAGCCACTTTCTCTTTTAAGGGAGCAATTACCAAGTATTACTGTCAGGGATGTCTGGCATAGCGGAAAAACAGGAGGTTGGCTGCACGCCAGCCTGCTCCTGCCTGGAAACCGCAACCCTCATTTCGGGGCTCTGCTGGGTTATTTTCTGCTCCTGTCCATGTGATTTGGGACCCCATGGTTTGCCCAGCGCAGGGACCAGCCTGGTGCCACATCAGCATCACAGTGAGGCTGCCCAGACGCTCGGTTAGATGCCACTGGACCACTGCCAGCATCGCGGTGAGTCAGTTCCCCGCAGGGTTTTGCAGCCGGGGAATTGCTCCTGGGCCTGCAATCCTTTGGATTTTGGGGTGAAAGGGACTGAGTTCTCTCTCATGACTCTAACCCAGGCCCTTTTCCCTGCTTGGCCTCGGCAAATCACTTAAATGTCTCAACTCTGCATCTCTGTGAGAGAGTGTTGGGGGTGATTGCGCAGATCAAGCGAGCGTTTATTTATCTAATTGCATTTTTGTTAACCACTTTGGCCCAAATTCATCTCAATTATCGTAGCCACTTATCTGCAGAAAGGACGGATTGCTCTCTGGAGACCCACTTCTCTCTCAGTGACTGCAGAAGGACCCCAGGCAATGAGTTTGCTTGAGTGCCTTTTCGATGGCTGGAGGAGATAAATCCCAGCCTTAATTTAAAACGTTAAATCCTCTTTCCTAGGGCTGGAAGGAGGCAACGTGTCACCTCTCATTGCAAATCTACCCCTTTGCTCTTTTTGTGGAGAGGTTCCTTATGATTCCCTAAGCGATGATGTAGGAACAAGCCCTTGGGAGACCTTGGATCGATCCTGCTTCTGGGACCTCTTTTTGGTGAATTGTCACCCTGTTGTGAGTCTGTTCCCCTCCAGGATATCTGAGATTGTGCTCTCTATATTTAAAGTTCTGTTCCAGAGACTGAGATTTCTTGTTAAAAAAAAGAGAATTTTGAGAGGAAAATCATATCCTGTGCCCAGGGGCATCCTTTCTTTGCTCAGGTGGTGCCAGCTATTTATGACCTTCTCTCCAAGGTGAAGTTTTGCATTTCCACCCAGGGAAGTGTTTTCTGACTCAATATCTCACTGGATTTTGGCTATGTGAGAGCAGGAGATGGATGTTGTGGCCCAAGCCACAACCCATTTCTCACCCTGTCCTGCCAGGGATTTTTGGGCTTGTCCGTGTAGCAAGCCATGCTCCCATGAGATGTTTTAAACCATTCCCAGATGCAAGGTTCTCCCTGGCCATGGATGGGCTAGCTGGTCCACTTCTAGGTTTGGTTACCAGCCTGGGTAAAGGGGTTCCCAGGGGTCTATCCTGGAGAAGACAGAATCTGGGAACAGGGAGCAGAACCCAACCTGCTCCCCCAGAGATTTCTGCCAAATCGTGTGACAAGATCTTTTCCAACCATAATGATTCTTTGATTCTGTGAGCCATCAAGCTCACATCAGGGTTGGCTGTTCTAACTGCTGCGAGTGAGATTCTTCCAGAGTAGATGGAGACATGCCAAGAATCCAGATTTATGTGAGATGCCGAGGCATCTAGCTGACAGATGATGACATTAAAATAAACCTATGCATAAGCATCCTTAACGCACAATGGATGTGAAACAGAGGACAGAAAACACAAGACGAATTGCAGGAGGAGTAGGAAAGCACTGCTGGGGCTTGCATGGACAAGGCAAGGGTGCATCTGGGTGCTCCTAAAAGTCAAGAGAGCTCAGCCAAGGCATTGCAGTAGCCCATCTCCCCTTCCCTATCAGCTCACACATTTTTTGCATGTGTTTCCTTCTATTTTTTTTTTCTTTTTGGTATTTTCCTTTCTGAAATATCTCATGCTAATCACTGCTAATTATTTACAAAAAAAACCCAAATGTTCCTCTCCTGCCCCTTACAGCTGGCAAGTCTATGTGGTACCTCCATTGCCTTGGTCAACATGAGCAGCCTCTGGGTTTTGTCTTTCCAGAACTACACCTACTGCAGCTGCATCTCCGAAAATGGCCTTGCAGGCTCCGCCAAACCCGGGACCTGCGGTACCAGCTGCTCCCACCTGCTCCTCCCCTTCGTGGTGTTGTCCTGCCTGGCGGGCATCCTCGCGAGCACATCCCACACGCCGTCCTTCATGCTCATCCTGCGGTGAGCAGAGCGGAGAGGACACTCCTTTAAGTAGGGTGCACTCCAGAAATGGCATTGAGAGGCTGAGTTTGGGGAAGCGCCGTTGGAATGGGGGTGGAAGGTTGGGTGCAATGGCCAGGTGAGGTTATTGCAACCGACAGGACATGTCCAAGCATGCATGTCCTTGGAACAGGTTGCCCAGAGAGGTTGTGGAGTCTCCTTCTCTGGAGATCTTCCAAACCCGCTTGGACGCAGTCCTGTGCCACGTGCTCTAGGTGACCCTGCATGTGCAGGGGGGTTGGACTAGATGACCTCTAGAGGTCCCTTCCAACCTTAATGATTCTGTCATTCTATTCCATCTTCTGGACTAGGCTTCAGGTGGAGCTGTCTCCATACCTCTTCCCCTCTCACTGTGCCTCATCCCTCTCTTTGCATTAGAGTAGATGCCCCAGGCTGGGGGGGAAATGCAGAGCACCCAAGCAGGACTTGCTCTTGCAGACCCCACATTAGCAGAGCTCCTGCCAGGCTTAAGCAATAAGGGCTCTTCTAAGACCTCGTTAGCTGCTGCTGCTAACGAGACATTAACGCCCTATGGAGTTATGCAGCAAATAGAGGTTTCAGGCACCACGGGGCCACCAGCATTGCTCTTGGTGGCACGTGGCCTCTATCAGCAACTTCAGGCAAGGAGCAAGGTGGTTGTCCCCCATGCACGCCACCCACTACGCAACCACCCACCGGTGGGGCTTGCAGGAACCCCTAATTTTTGCCCCCGTTCATGTACATAGCACAAAAATCCTCTTTTGGATCCAGCAGCTGCTCAGTTCCTCTGGCCCACCCACGGCGGATACTGCAGTAATGAGATACGCTATTAATGCCGTGTTAATTTAGCATGGCAGCGTTTTGGCGCTTTGTCATGCAGCTCCACGTTGAGCAGGGAAGTCTAATTGCCTGCCTTCCTCCTGAGAAGTCTCACTTGAGCAGAGCCTCGCTTTTTCCTAAAAAACAGCCTCCGAGGAGGGCATTAAATGGGATTAAGCAGCTGAGGGCCAGCGAGCAGAAAGGGTGCCAAGGCTCTGCCCAGGACTTGGCCAAGCTGGGAAGCTGATCCAAGAGACCAGCCTGGAGCTGCAATAAGCTCAGAGCCCATTGCTCAGGGCTAAGACACCCTTCTGCCTCCCTGCAGGCTCCCCAGATCTGCAAAGGGAATGTCTACCAGTCCGTAAATGGTATTCCCAAGCACCCTTTCTCTGCTCCCCAGATCTGCAGAGGGGACCATAAATGGTATTCCCAAGCACCCTTTCTCCATCAGAGCACCCAAAACAGATGTTTTTGGGGAAAGAGAGGCAGTACAACCTATTTTTACCTTGACCCTAGGTCAAAGAGGTTCAATAACTGTTTATGCCGTATTAATTTAACCATGCATACAACAGCAATGAAAGTTGAGCTCTCTAGGGTGTTGTGAGTCTCGGGGTGCTCTACTGCCCTGTCCCACTGCATGTCTCTCCTCTGAGGTAAGAAAGGACCGCAAAATGGTCATCTTCTTGCTACCATTGTGATCCCCATATAGGAATATAGGTACATTTGGGTCATTTTGTGTGACCTTGGCAGGAACCACAGTCTAAAATACTTCAGAAAACTGAAGGACCAGCAAAAATATACCCTGGGACAGTGCATTGCAAAGAAAAAGCCACTTCCTGAATGGGTAAATCACTTTCCTTTTTCTTTCACAAGCACGCTTTGTATTGCTTGTACTTTGCAGAGCCAGGGGCTCCATTGGCATCTGCCTGTGGTTTACTCATAGGCATTCTTTAAATTAAAAACAGGAAAGAAAAACACGACACTTGGCTGAGCACCTCCCTTCTCCTGCAGAGTTTGGTCGGATTTTAAGGCCAAAAAAAGACTGTGGCAAGCATCTAATGAATGAAACGTCACTGCTTTTGCTGACGTCAGTGGGAAGAGTCTCAGGTCCTTAGCGTTTGGGCAAAGGGGTGGCTTTGTGGCTGAGGTGCCCCAAGGGCTTGCACGGTACCGGGGAGGAAAACCACTGTCCTTCCTTAAGGGCAAGAAGGACACACTGAGCCCTCTTTGGATTTTGTTTTTTTCAGGAGCGTCCAGCCTGAAGACAAGTCGTTTGCTGTTGGGATGCAGTTCATGTTGCTGAGAGTTTTAGGTAAATTAAGACATGTTGAGGAGTCAGGCTGAGGATCGCAGCAGCTGCTGGAGATTGGTGTGGGGCTGATCCCTGTGGAGACCTGGGGCTGCAGAAGAGCTCAGATATGTTTTGGGGAGGCAGGAGGAATCACTGGAGAGTCCAGGATGCTCCTCGCTGCTTCCTCTTGTCTCCCCAGCTGATTCCAGCTCTCTCTTCAGTCAAATCTACCCTACTCTGGTCTTAAGCAGTGTGACTCTGAGCTGATTTAATTCAACAGTGTAGACAAAGTCATAGACATCATTAAAATCTGCCTGGCTTTTCTGGAGGGCAGCTCTTGGTTGGGTTTTCCTCTGGCATGTTGGAGGCTGCAAATCAGGCCCCATGACCCAACCAGGTATTTTTCACATGGAGGAAATTCATTTTAATCCCAATGTCACTCAAATGTACCACTGCAGCTGTAGGAAGGAGTGTGCCTCCACGGTTCAGGAAGGAAAAGGGCATCATTCCTGGTTTGAGCCATGGTCTCACATCCAAAATTAGTGAGAAATGAGGAGCTTCCACCAGTGTTCCCCAAAGCGCACGTTAAACCTGGTTAAGCACCCGGATCTGCTTAGCACATCTTGGAAAATATCCCAGATGGGGGCTATCCCTGCAGAGATGCTCCCATGACACATCCCCTCTTCCCCTGTGCTTTTAGCGTGGATGCCCAGCCCGGTCCTGTTTGGCAGCGCCATCGACACCACTTGCATCCTCTGGGAGAAGAAGTGCGACAAGAACGCCGCTTGCAGATACTACGACAACGATCTCTTCAGGCACAGGTAGGGCCTCCAGGAGCCCCCATCACCAGTCCCTTTGGGCTCAAGCTCCTGTGATGGAAACGGGACAGACAGTGGGAACGAGGTATAGGGACAGAGGGCAGTGTGGCATCTTGTGCTCTCCCACGTGCTGAACCCCAGTACATGTCCCTTTTCCATAAGATGGGATCCAGTAACACCGTGGAGAAGCCCATCCCGGTTTCTTCTGATCCTCTTCTACAGCCATTGCTTGAACCATGTTGGATGAGACCCATGGATGGAGAAACCCATCCCAAGCCATTCCAGTTTCTTCTGCTCCTCCTCTACAACCATTTCTTGAACCATGTTGGATGAGACCCATGGAGCCCATCCCCACATTTGGGGTTTGATGGGTGCCCAGAGACTTGGGCAACTACTGTGCACCCAGGAACTGCCCCTGACTTCTTGTGCTTCCACCCCACAGGTATCTCGGACTCCAGCTTTTCTTCGAAGTAGGAGCTTTGCTGTGCTTCGTGACTGTGTATATCATTCTCAGGCGTCAGGAGAGAGAAGCTCGGAGTGTAGCAGAGACAAAGACAAACCCAGAAAAGGAGAAACTGGCAGGAAAGGCCACAAAGAACCCAGAATCCAAAGTGTGAAAAGATGTGAATGGCACTCCATGTGCCCAGGAGGGAAAGCCAGGTGGATAACCCCTCACTTGAACTGTGAAGGATGGATGCTTGGAGCAGCCGAAGACAGGACTGCGTCTAGGTGGGCTCCTTGTAGTCTGCCTGGAGAGTCTTCCTACACACTATCCTACACCTGCATCCATCCAAATGCTGCAGCTGAACGTTTGCATGGATCAGGCCACATACATTAATCTTTGGACACTGCAGTCCTCCGGATTTATATTCCTCTAACAATTTGTTCCTGCTGACACTCTCAAAGGTGCCATCATCGAGCATTAACCACACAGCTGAATTATTTTTTATTAAATGCTTTTTAATAAATGGTTTTGTACTGTACTCATATGTCTCTATGAGTGATGGACTGTCCTCACCCCCAAATGCCAATTATGTCCTGCTCCTTTCTCTCTCATGGTGTTAGATGGTCTCTCAACTCTTGAAGGCATCGTCCAGCTCCAAGTGACATTGATGGGACTTTTGTCCCATGCTGGGGACCATTGCCCAAAGCAGCTCGCACATCTCAGCTGCTGGGTAGAGGTTGCTTGTTGCAGGAGCTGGATGGTAGGGGACAAGAGTAAAGGAACTGGGGCGGAGGATTAAGGAAGGTGGACACCAAAAAGAGCTGCAGATCCCGCCCAGGAGAAAACAGAGCTGTGGTGCTTTGGCAGCATGGCCCCTTTAGGCAGCAATAATAATCCTCACCTTCAGATTATCCACACTTGCCAAAGGGGGTTACTGAGGCATGTGAGCATTAACCCTCCTTCCCGCTTCCCACCTTGAGAGCAACAGAACTTTCCCCAGAGCCCCTTTTTCCCGGGCCAGCGAGGTCGGTCCCTCCACAGATTGGGCAACGCTCGCGGCTAATCCATTTGACCGCGGAGCTGGAGGGTTGTGCCGCGCTTCTCCAGGCGGTCGCCGACGGCGGCAGCTCTAATTACGGGCTGAAGGTTGAGCCTGGTTTTATTTCAGCTCAGCTATTTCCTGCATTCCTTCCATCTGGGGGTTCCCGTCCACCCAAGGGCGAAAACGGCAGCGCTGGGCTCGGGCCACCAGCGCAGCACTGCAGCCCATGGGGTAGCTTGGCATCTTTGGCTTTAGAAGGAAAAAGTCCAAATACACAGAAAAAAGCAGAAATAAACAGCAGGGAATAACCATTAACTCCTTGCACCCTGCCTATAAATCACATATTAAGGGTGTCTACCGTGCACCTCAGTACATCGGTGGAGGCTATAAAGGATGCTGGTCAACTGCCTGAATTGGGTATTTTGCCAGTTTGTTTGCCCAACCGTTTTGAGAAATCAAATTAATTTCCTTTAGGACAAGGGACTAAAAAAAATAATGCAGTGTATTTTGTTTATTGAAGAGGTGTTTAACAGAGAGCTCAGTACTATTCACAGGTACCTGCCACATTCTTGGTATTTTGCCACATTGTTTGCCCAACCATTTTGAGAAATACAATTAATTTCCTTTAGGGCAAGGGACTAAAAAAAATAATACAGTGTATTTAGTTTATTGAAGAGGTGCTTAAGAGAGAGCTCAGTACTATTCACAGGTACCTACACCGCAAAGTGACTTCTGGCATAGAAGAGCATGTTAAAGGAGACAGACTCGAGAGATGAAGCTAGACCATTCAGACAGAACGAGGAGCATATGGAG